CTTTTGGTGCTATTGCTGGGGCTGGTAGTCCAAGGGGCTCTTATTCTTTGGAGACCATGTGACCCATCAGGTCAACCATCCAGTTGCTGTAGCCAACTTCATTTTCATACCAGGAAATGAGTTTGACAAAGTGATCTTTCAGAGCAATGTGGAAGAGTGGGTGTCACTATTAAAGTCACAGGAGACAACCTGGTCTTCAGTGTATCTCAGGATGAGGGGCCCTTCTGATTCCTGCTTTACTACTTTCTTGATGTCATCATACTTGACAGCTTTCTCCAGACAGCAGGTCAGGTCCACAACTTACACATTGAGGTTGGGGACACAGAAAGCCACGCTGGTAAGTTTCCCATTCAGTTCAGGGTTGACCTTGCCCACGGCCTTGGTAGTGCCAGTAGATGCAAGGATGATGTTCTGGGCAGCTCCATGGCTATCACACCACAGCTTTCCAGAGGGGCCATCCACAGTCTTCTGGGTGGCAGTGATGGCATGGTCTGTGGTCATGGTTTGTGTCTCTACAATGACGAAGTTGTCATGGATGACCTTGGCCAGTGGAGCCAAGCAGTTGGTGGTGCAGGAGGCATTGCTGACAATCTTGAGAGAGTTGTCATACTTTTCATGGCTCATGCCCATCACAAACATGGGGGCATCGGCAGAAGGAGCAGAGATGAGTACCCATTTGGCACCACCCTTTAAGTGAGCGGCAGCCTTGTCCAAGGTTGTGAAGACACCAGTGGGCTCCACAACATACTCAGAACCAGCATCATCCCACTTGATGGAAGTTAGTGATGGCTTTCCCATTTATGACGAGCTTCCCATTCTCAGCCTTGACAGTGCTGTTGAACTTGCCATGGATGGAATTATGTTGGAACATATAGACCGTGTAGTTGAGGTCAATGAAGGGATTACTGATGGTGAAAACATCCACTTTGCCAGAGTTAAAAAGCAGCCCTGAAAACAACTATGAGATATCATCTCACCCTAGTCAGAATAGCAAAATTTAACAGAACAGCAAAAAACAAATGCTGGCGAGGTTGTGAAGAAACTGGAACCCTTATTCACTGTTGGTGGGAATGTAAAATGGTGCAACCACTGTGGAAGGTGGTATGGCGCTTTCTCAAAAAGTTGCAAATAGAGATACCATTTGACCCAGCAATTCCACTACTGGGAATAGACCCCGAAGAGACCATAACTGACATCCAAGCAAATATATGCACACCCATGTTTATTGTGGCTTTGTTCACAATAGCAAGGAGTTGGAAACAACCTAAGTGTCTATCAACAAACGATTGGATAGAGAAGTTGTGTTATATTCACACAGTGGAATACTATGCTGCTTTGAAAAACAGGAACTCATGCAATATTATTCAAAATGGGTGACCCTGGAGAACATTATGCTGAGTGAAGTATCTCAGTCACAAAAGGACAAATACTGCATGGTGACACTGTTGTAAAACGGGACTGACATCGGTGGTGGGGGGGAGACTGAGAAAGATGGGTTCAATAATGTATACCGTGTTGAAACAGATGAGGGAGAAAACTGTTTAAAAGGGATAGGTGATTAGGTATTTTTGTTATGACAGGAGTTCAGAGTGAAGGATGCATAGAGTGGACCTGGGGGAGGGATTGTAAAACAATGAAATAATTTTTCTTTTACTTTTCCAAGAGGGGGGTATGGGGAGGGTAGCATTGGGAGGGGAGAAAAGTGCAACAATGAATGAATGGAAATGAAAAAAATTAATTACTAAAAAAAATCAGCCCTGGTGACCAGGGACCCAATGCGACCAAATATGTTTCCTCTGACCTTCACCATCGTGTCTCAGGGATGCAGCTGACACTGCACGAGAAGAGAGTGCAATCTGGAACGACAAGGAGCGGAGAGTCAGAAAACTTATTTCTCAGTAAAAGTTTATATCCTGTAAATTGATGAATGAGCACTTGAGTCCAGACGGAGGGTGCACAGTGAGGCCGAGGCATCCTGCACCTCTGAGCAAGGGGAGTTCCTTTACGTGGAGGCAGCTTGAGTCTGTGTGTGTCTAAGATGAGCCTGATCCAGGCTATAGTCTTTGCAATTGCTTGCTTGCTATGTGTCAGAGAGCAGGACTGTGACTAGGGATGATAGAGAATTGATGCCTTTGAGCTGTGGTGCTGGAGAAGAGGGTTGAATTTACCATGGACTGCCAGGAGACAAACAGGTTTGTCCTAGAGGGGGTAAAACCAGGCTGCTCCTTGGAGGCTAGGATTCTGAAGCTTCATCTCACATAGTTTGGGCGTGTTGCAAGGAGGGGCCAGTCCTTGGAGAAGGACGTCATGCTTGGGAGGGTGAGGGACAGAGAAAGAGAAGGAGACCCTCAATGAGATGGATTGATTCAGTGACTGGGGTAATGAGGGTAAGTGTGTCAGAGACAGTAAAGTTGGCACAGGATAGAGCAGATTTCAGGGCTGTGGTTACATGAGGTTGCAAGTGACTTGACAGCATATAACAACAAACAACAACAACATCATGTTGTTGCTACTGAGAAAGACCCTAAAAAAGATAGTTTGACACAGTGACTAGGCAAGGCTGGAGCATGGCAGAAAACTTGGAGATGACCCAGGATATGGCAAGATTCAGGTCTGTTGTTCATAGGGCTGTTGTGGGTCATAGTTGACTTGATGGTACCTAACAATATTATTATTATTATTATTATTATTATTATTATTATTATTATTGTTATAGC